GGGGCTTGGGCAGAGGTTTGGGGGTGGGGTTTGGGGGTGGATTGTAGAGGGGGTTTGTGGGTGTGAGATTTGTGGGTGGGTATGTGGGTGGTGGGTCTGTGGGGGTGGCACACAGGGTGCATGGAGGCAGGAACTAGCCTGGCCCAAGGGCACACCTGGTTGAGGGTGCACACCAGTGGTTAGGCCAGCACAACGTACAGCTGCCGGGTTGGAGGTGGTGCCATGCCACCAGAGGTCTCCGCCAGCAGCAGGCCACGATCGCCCCAATGGCCACTGCTACTGCTGCTGCAGGAGGGCAGTGTACCATGCGTGGGGTGGGCAGGGAAACCACCCCTCCTGAGCAGCCCCTCCCCACTCCCACAGTTCTCCCCTGCCCCCAGTCCCTGCTTACCTGGGACAAAGCCTGGGTCTGAGGCACCGCTGCAGCTTTGCCCTGCTCCTATTTGAGGCAGTGTGCTGGAGCTGCGGGGGCACAGGGCAGCCATAAAGATGCTCTAGCTGGGTGCTACAGATCTCCTTGGAGGACCCAGTCTCTGGTTGCTTCTGGGCACGCTCTAGGAGAGAGTGTGCCCAGAAGACAGAGAAGCATCATAATGTGGTTACTACTTTCTGAGCCTGATGCTCCAGCCAGTTTTTTATCCACCTTACAGTCCATTCATCCAGCCTGTACTTCCTTAGCTTGTCTGTAAGAATGTTGTGGGAGACAGTATCAAAAGCCTTGCTAAAATCAAGGTATACCACATCCACCAGTCTCCCTGCATCCGCAGAGCCAGTCATCTCACCATAGAACACAATCAAGTTGGTCAGGAATGACTTGCTCCTGGTGAATCCATGCTGACTGTTCCTAATCACCTTTTCCTCTTCCAAGTGCTTAGAAATGGATACCTTGATGATCTGCTCCATGATTTTTCCAGGTACTGAGGTGAGGCTGACTGGTCTGTAGTTCCCTGGATCTTCCTTTTTCTCTTTCTTTAATATGGGCACTATGTTTGCCCTTTTCCAATCATCTGGGAACTGCCGATTGACATGAGTTTTCAAAGATGATGGCTAATGGCTCTATAATCACATCAGTCAACTCCCTCAGCATCCTCAGGTGCATTTCATCCAGCCCCATGAACTTGTACACGTCCAGCTTTTGCAGCACTGCCTCTCCATACTCCTATTCCAGCCAAGAAAAATCAGCTTTCTTACTTAAGATGTGCACCCTAGTTTTGGAGGTCTGAATTTTGGGGGCAAAGTACATGTGATATTCAAGCAATTATGGTACTGACTGAGCATGTCTACGTGTACCCATTTTAAGCAAGATTTGCCTAAAATCACCATTTTAAGGTGCATTAAAGGCATGTATTCACACGTGTGTGTCCTTAATATGCCTTAAAAATGGCGATTTTAAGCTAATCCTGCCTAAATTTGGTATCTGCATAAAGAATTTGTTAATGCACATTAACATGTCTGCATGTGGGCTAATGTGACTTAGTTAATCACACCAAAAATAATGAAGTTAATGCACCTTAATGTGTGTAGACACATGCCTAAATCACCTTAATGCTCCATAAGCAAAGGTGTATTAAGTTTAGGCACACATAAATGCATGTGTAGACACACCTATTGTGTACATAGAACACATTCATACCACATTTATGTAGGTAAAAGTGGGCAGAATTCAGAGAAGAGTAAGAACAGTATTAAGAAGCTGTATGGTTGATTTAGCAAGAAAGATTAAAGAAGATTGAGAACATAATTGAAGTTTGGAACATAACTTTCTAAAAATATTAAAGTAGGACATAAATACCACAAAAGCAAAGAATTGTTTCAAATGATATAGAAGGGTACATCAGATTTGCTGGAAGCAGTTGAGAAATGTAGCCAGAATAACAGAAATCTATCTTAACAGTGTGAGCTGTTAGATTTAGATGAGTTTTTCAACAGAAATCTCATTGCTTGCATCATTTACAATGACTAAATAAAATATTTTAAAATATGCTGTAAGAAAAATTGCTGCACTAGCAGAGGATCAACTACATGACCTATCCCATTTGTATTTGTTTTTGTGAGTGTAACATATGTCAGAAGATGCACATAGAATTCTTTATTCAGTAAATATATAGCTCAATTGTGTGGGAAATTAGTTTGGATCTGTTGGAATGATTTTAATTGTAAATAAAACACAGCTTTGTTTTGAAATTAATGGGTAAGTCCCTATGGCCCATTGTAGAGAAATCCCTTTAGAAATCTAAATTACAGCACTCATGTAAGTAGATCTTGAAGAAAAAACCCAGAACTCTAACATTTTACAATAGAGTATTAATAAAAAAGATGCATATCAAAATCAAATCCATGAATAATGTATTCAGGAACCTATTGAATGAAGAACAGGTGTCTAAATGAAATACAGGAAGAGTGAATGCAATGACTGCTAATTTGGAAGCATTTTAAGGGTAAATGGAACATTTTTCAGTATTTCCTAAATCTACTCCCCATTTCATAGTACAGTATAAAAGAAACTTATATTTAGTATCTTATACATGCAAAAAATGAAACTGGACACATTTCAGCTCAGTCTTGTTGCTTCTTTGGTGAAATCAGAGTTCAGTAGTGAGCTGAGAATAATTATAGCTGTTATGATGAAATTCCATATTCTGGAATTTGGATAGCTGTAACCTACTATCACTACGTTGGTAGCCCTGAATATGAAACAGGACTGAAATATTGTCCTTTATTATTAATAATAAAGATTTTCACAATTATAAGTTTATTGATTTAACCTTTAACTCAGATTGGTCCTTTTTATATAAAAGGTACACATTAGGAAATGTAGAGGCTTTTATTAATTTCTTTTTATATTTGATTTCTTTGAATTGCAGTTCAAATTGCTATCGTGTTTGGTGCTAAAGTTCTAGAACATATCTTTAATCTATGCCGAGGCAACTTTGACTTCCTTGAACGGCTTCCTGATCCATTGCTCCTAAATATAATTTCCTTTCTGGGTCTTGAAGATATTGCCAGGCTTTCTCAAGTCTCACACAGATTTGAAACGGTAAAAAATAATTTACAATTTACTTTTAAAATGTTAGTTTTATTATGGTATATTTTATTATGGTATAATTTTTGTTGCAGTTCATTTTTCTAAGAAACATTTCTTTACATGTATATATACATCTTTATTTTCAATTTACGGATACAGATTAATGACATAATCATACAGTGCTGGACCTGTGCAATGAAAACTGGATTCCAGCTATATGTAGTTATAGAAACAATTGGTCCCGTCTTACAAACATTTTCTACTGTATAGAGTGATTACTACTATCCAAATAGTCTGCACAAACAAATGAGGTTACTTGGGTTGTTGTAAATGCTATTCCCCGTATTAAATATCTGGAGGGTATTACCCATGCTTTGCATTGTTTATTTATTTTTATTACTATAGTGCCTAGGAACTCCAATGCTGTGTATCAGTGCTGATCAAAAATATAGTCCCATTCCTAGTGAGTTTATAATTGAAAACTAAGAGAAAAGATCACCGATGGATACAAATAGATGTGGGACTATAAGGAAACAGTGAGACAGCACTAGCTAGCATGATAGACAGGGCTGTGCGAAGCTTTGGGTGGTGATTCAATTTGGAGGAGATTCAGCCCAATTTGGTGGCCGAATTTCCAAATCCAAATCTAATCGGGGGACCAATTTAAAGGTCCGAATCGATTCAAAGCTCTCCGAATCTTCAGAAAAGATTCAGAGAGCTTTGATGATTTTATAGCTAAGATGAAGCTTCCTTATACAGGGCCCAGAAGGTAGAGGAGATGGGAGCCCATGAGGGATGGTCATACCTTAAGGGGGCGATCCTCCAGGCCCAAAGGATAACAGTCCCTGAGAGAAGCAAGGGGGGTAAGAGTGCTCAGAGACCCCCTTGGCTCAGCAAGGGCATTCAGCAATGCCTGAGGACTAAAAGGGAGGCATACAACCAGTGGAAGGGAGGAGCTATCACCAAGGAGGAGTACTCCTCCCTCAGCTCGAGAGTGTAGGAGGGCTATTCGGAAGGCCAAGGTAGAGATGGAACTCAGGCTGGCGTCCGGGATTGAGGACAATAAAAAGTCCTTTTTCAAGTACATTGGAAGCAAGAAGAGGGCACCAGGCAATGTAGGGCCCCTGCAAGACACAAATGGTAATCTGGTGGCCACGCCAGACAAGAAAGCTGATATTTTTAACAGTTTCTTTGCCTCTGTTTTCCTGAACAGGGACTGGGATATCCCACCTACCAGAGGTAGGGACAATCTTGGGGATAGCTCTATCAAGCCTTCAGTCAGTGCAGATGTAGTTAGGGATCTTCTGGAAGGGCACCATGCTTCCCTTTCCCCCTTTCTTCACCAGACTGCTCTCCACCCTGCTCTAAAGCAGGAGAAAGTGTTAGCGGTCATCAATATGTGAACGTTTAAATGTTTAACAATTCACATCCCTAATTGGAGAGAAAATAATATTCTGAATAGCCGGATTTCAGGATTGTGAGGGAGTTCAAAGCTATACATTTAGTGTTCCTCTGAAACACTTCATAGCCTTTGTGAACAATTTGGGTAGACATTGCAACACTTTTGCAGGAAAGTCCCTGTTTTCTCAAGGAGTGAAGCAGTCTCTGGATTGTGGCATGAAGAATCACTAGCTCATAAAGGGTGGGACAAATGTGGAAGTCCAAGCTCTGGGAGAGTTACATTTATATCTGAGCTTCTCGTAATAGGGGGGAGGACAATGAGTTAGAGTGAATTGCTTCCCTGCAGTGTGATGTCCACATAATGACAGTGTGCAGCTGTGTGGATCAGAGGGGGACAAAGTCAGAAGAGCCAGTTGCCTTAAGATGGCAATGAGCAATGCTCAGGCTTTGATGGTGATAAACTAAGCCGCCGCAAGCAAAAATGTTTGGAGAAGGCACTAGGCACACCTAGCAGCCCAGTTCAAATTTCATCTTGCAAGATCCTCAGTTCATCCAATCACTCCAGGAGTGGTAGTGACCTAGTAACTAAGTTTTCGGGTACCTGTAAAACGCACATCCCAAATATGTTTTGCACTAAGGCACAACTGAATGGATAGAGCGAGCGTTCAGAACCAGAGGCTGAGCTTGCTTATTTGGTCCTACCTAGATTGGGGGTTTAGCAGATGCATCTTTGGAATTAGTTATCTGCATGGCTCGTAATGACGCCAAAGCAAGGACATTACTTAGGTCAGGCCGCAGTTGGAGGACTGTGTCCAGTACTGGGCACCACACTTCAAAAGGGATGTGGCCAGCCTGGAGAGGGTTCAGAGGAGGGCCACATACTTGGTGAGAGGGCAGCAGGACAGGCCCTACGAGGAGAGACTGAGGGACCTGAACCTGTTCAGCCTCAGCAAGAGGAGGCTGAGGGGGGACCTGGTGGCTGCCTACAAGCTCATCAGGGGAGATCAACAGCAAATAGGCAGAGCTCTTTTCTCCCCAGCACCACCTGGGGTGATGAGGAACAATGGTCATAAGCTGATGGGTTAGGTTGGTGGGTTAGGTTGGCTGAATAGGTTTAGGTTGGTGACCAGAAGGCAATATTTTACAGTTAGGGTGGCCAAAATCTGGAACCAACTTCCCAGGGAAGTGGTCCTCACCCCTACCTTGGGCAAATTCAAGAGGAGGTTGGACAATCACCTGTCTGGGGTCTTGTGAACCCAGCATTCATTCCTGCCTGTGGCAAGGGGTCAGGCTAGATGATCTGTTCAGGTCCCTCCTGACCCTAGCTACTATGAAACTATGAGATAATACAAGCTATTTAATAAAATCAGCTGTTTCATAAAACAATTGCAGCTGCCTTAATTTGAGCACTACCACTTACGCACTCCAGCTTATCCATTTACTGACATGTATAAGATGCTACATACTTTCTAGCACAAATTCAAGTCAATTCCTTTGATGTATATTGTAGATTAACTTTAAGAGGTTCTAAGAAGGCAGAGGTTTTTGAACTGTAAAAAAATATATTTTTGTATCTTTCTATGAATTATAATAAGCAAAAGGCCACCAGAGGGGGCTAAAATCCGTAAAGTAAAAATGAAAGTAAAAGTTTCTTAGGTTACTGCAGATACAGCAGACTTTTCTGTATTATCTCAGGATGGCACTCTGTGTTTTCACACCAAACCCATGTGGGTTGTTTTTTACTTACTTAGAGCATAATAAGGACAAAAGTTATAACTTTGAGATTTGGCTGTTATGTTGTTATATAATTCAAAGACCATTAAAATTGAATGAAGAAACCTATAGTAATGGCATTAAGGTTCTTGCTTTAGGTATCTTATTAATATATTGTATTGAAGTACTAAAAGGTAGTCTTCAATATTTTCAATTTAGCGCAATTCCCATATTTCTAGGAGTAGCAGAAGAGTCAGGGAAACATAGCAAGCAAAAATTTCAAGAGAGTCTTTAAAATTCATCCCTTTTTCATCTTTTAGGTCCCTTTAAGTAGTTTTCCCATGAGCCATGTGTTCCAGTCTTGCTCACATCCCTAATTTGCAACTGACTATCAGTATCATAAACATTACAACTCATCAATGAAAATGATGCACTTAATTCCATTAACTTCTGTAGGGTTGTATATGTGTAAATGAAAGCTGAGTTTTTTGTATTTTGCTTTAGCATTCAGTATTTTTCAGGCACTTTTTCTTTAATTACTTTTATTTATATCCTACTGAATAAAAAACAAGCACAAAAAATATAAAGCAGGATTGATCCAAATCAACAGATCCTGATTTTCATGAGGATAAATAATGAGCAGGGATCTGGGTTTTCCATTTGCCATAGAAAAACACAGGAGAATGCGGGTTTCCCCTTGCAGGATGGCAGAGTTCTAGCCTGCAAGGGGCTGCTTGGGGCTGGGGGGAGTGGGAGGTGGGCAGTCACAAGCAGGGAGCGCCACGTGCATGTGCATGAACATACGTTCTCATGGCAGCCAGAAAGCGTGGTGGAGAGCAGCTCCCCAATAAGTCTGGGGGGGAGGCATAGGAGAGGCATGGGGGGGCAGGGGAGCATAAGTGACATAGGAGGGTAGGGGGGCAAATTAAGGTAGCAGCGGCAGTTTGTGCTAAAGCCCACATGGTGAGGGAGGGAGTGGTGCTGGCTGGGGCAGGAGGCGTTGCCCAGCTGGGGCAGTTCATAGGGCCCAGGGCAGAAATATGCAGCCATGGGACCCGGCCGGGGGAGCAGAATGGAACCATGAGAGGCTCATCTGGGTGGGGGGAGCTGGCGGGAGGGCTGGGTCCCTGCCACTGCATGCACTCCTGGGGAGGGATTGGGTGCCAGAGGTGTCACGTCAGGGGGGCATGTACCCCCCAGATTTGTGCACCTACAACAGGTGCAGGGCTGCAGCCTGGACAGATTGGCATGGGCAGGAGCTGCCTCCGCAGCCCAGCAGTTGGGACCAGGACATGGACTGGGAGGGCAGAGCAAGGCAGGGAGACATATTGTCGCTGCTGCTGGGATCCCACACCACTGCCAGCAGCATGAGGTGTAACGGACCAGGGGGTGCAGCCATGCTGCCCTCACCTCCTCCTGCTGCCAGCCACTCAAACCCTGGACCACAGCTTTCCCTTCCATCATGGCCTGGCTGCCATCGCCACTCCCCTCAGGCCATGGCTCTACCCTGGAGGGTAGGTTGCGTGGGGGGCAGCACAGGTGACCTGAGGGGAGCGGTAGCCAAACCATGGCAGTGGGGTAGAGCTGCGGCCTGGCATGCAAGTGGCTGGTGGCAGCAGTCAGTGAGGGCAGCATGCCCCCACACCTCTCCCCACAGTCTATTACTCCTTGAACTGCTGGCAGTGTGGCTGGTGCAGGGGTCCTGGCAATGGTGACGGCAATTAGTCTTGCCACCCTGCTTCACCCTCCTGAGCTGGGTCATGCCCACTGGGCCACAGAGGTGGCTTCTTACCATGCCAGTCTGGCCAGGCTGCAGCATGTGCTGCCCATGTCAGTCTGGCATGTGCTCCCCCTATACCCCACCCCACGCTTCATCTGCGGTGTTGCCTATGGTCAGGCATCTCTCCTGCCCCACAGCCCTCCCCTGCCCCACACACTGGGGGGCTGGAGCCTGGTGGCAGGGGGCAGCAGGTCAGTAGAGAGGGCATCAGCAGGCTTGTGGGGCCTATGGGTCAGGAGTGAAGGGCACCAATAGGAATGGAGGACTGTGAGTCAGGAGTGAGGGGCACTGGTGGGGTGGAGGGCTACAGGCTGGGGGTAAAGGGCACTGGCAGGGCTAGAGAGGGCTGTGACTTGCAAGTGAGGGGCACTGGCATGTCAGGACTGCTCAGCGCCACAAAGTAGCGGGATGACAGCTGCAGCTAGACCCACTTCCTGGTGAGCAAAAGGGGCAGGGGGAGCTCTGATTTTCTTTGATAAAAAAACCAAAATCAAATGCCAAAATATATAGGTATTTAGAATTTATTTTATTATAATGATTACTGGTAGGCATCCAGCCTGCTTTAAAATGGTAAATATATCAATAAAACATTGTGTTCAATTGATAGCTGTATTATAGATAGGCATTCCATTTTAATCGCAGAAAAATGTGGATTTGGGGGATTTTAAATCAGAGAATTTTGGATTTTTATCAGAGAATTTGCAATTTTTAAATGGGGAACACCAGGATCAGTAATCATGAGTGACTCTATTTCAGTCAGTGCAGTTAAGCTACTATAAAACTGGTATATGAAAAAGGAAACACTGTTCCAGTGTCACTTATTTTAATGGTTGGATATTATATGATAATGCACCCAACTTTTCTAATTATTTTTATGATAGTTGTATCTTGCCTTAAAAATTAATTTGTTTTATTTTTTTCTTGTACTATAATGGCCACTATAATCACTTCCACACCTTTCTGTTCATGCAGTCACTTAAAAGGGGGAAAGTATCCTCTAAGAATCATAATTACCCCCTAGAGCTGATGTTTTTGAAGACTCCTATAAAAAGCATAGAAGCAAGAATTTGGATGATCCCCTTCGTTGGAAAGCTATATAATTGGGAGACATGTTAGACAAGCATTCAGGCAAATAAAATGGTCAATGAATGTTCAAGATATCTAGCTACATCTGACTAAAACAGATTAACCCCCTGTAATTCCTCTTATAAATAGATATGCAACTGTGACACACTGTGGGAAAAAATTGTGCAGAATTTGTGCGATACAATTACCCCTGAAATGAGAGCACTGGCACAGGAAGTGGGCTGGAAACGATTCTTCTTCACTAGCAAACTTCAGCTTCAGCTGCAGATTCGAAGAAGGAGGCAGAAACAAGATAATTCAGAAAAAGAACTGAATAAATAAAGCTGCATGTTTTTGATTGAAAGCAAGCATGGTAAGATGTAAATGTGTTAAATATCAAAGAATAATGATTTGCCTTTTTCTTTATTGGAGAACCTAGCTAACTGTAGGATTAAAACAGTAGACGCATACCTTAATGGAAACACGACATAAAACATATAGCTTTTTATAGAATGGACTTTCTGAAATCATACTGTTTGGATCCCAGCAACCACTAGCGATAGAAAAGGTTGCAGCTCTTTCTAAACTCTTGACTTTGAGTTGTTAAAAATTCACATACGCAGCGGCTGCATCTAGACAAGCTTTACTACAGAGTTGACTAATTAGCTGTGCAGTAAAATGTCATTATCTGCACGTGCAGCAATATTAGGCTACAGTAAACAAATTAACTCCACTGTAAGATAGTACTGTCCGGCACAAGTACTATCCTACAGTAGTTATTTAGTGAACTGCAACCCACGTGTAGACGGTGACCAGGGCTGGCTGGGGCACGAGGGTGCTACAGTGCGCAGCCTGCCTACCAGCTAGCCCCGCACTGTAGAACTCTCATGTCCCGCCAGCCCCTCCGCAGCATGTTGAGCCAGGGTGGAACAGCCCTGGGCTGGCAGGCTGACCCCCCGCAGACCCTGTGCCAGCTGGGGCTGCTCCAACCTGGCTCAACATACCACGGTCCCGGCTGCATGTGTAAACACTGCACCCAGAAGCAATAAACCCTGGTGTGAACTGCACTGGAGTTTATTGCTACATGCTAATTGCATATATAGGTGCAACCAGTAGTTACCATTTAAATAATCAACATTTGACAACAGCATAATATTGTCAGAGCTATTCCCTATTCTAAAAATGTGGAAATACGTGAATGTTAATTCTTATTGGCTGGAAATGTTGGTAATTTTTTTACTGGCCACAAGGGTATATTTAAAATGAAAGAAGGCAACTAACATACATTTGTGGTGAAAATTGTTGGCTTTAAACATTGTAATACTTAGTAAGTTCACTAGATGTTTAAACTTCAGATAAATAAGAAAATTAAGCACTTTGTCACCAAGAAGAAACTTTATCAGAGGCAAGAATATGGAATGGGTGGATAGACAAAACTATTCTCTTCTGACTTAATATATCAAGGTGCTGGATGGAGGCACATTGAAAGGGTGTTATGTAGGTAAATTTTTCCACCGCTGCCCATTCAGGATCTTCTGAGGATAAAGTTGCCAGTGCTGTGAATCTTGGAACTTTTGATAAGAAGTAAATTAATTTAAGTATATCTTCACTTAAAATAGCATTTATTATTGACTCTTTGCATTGTAGGGTCAATCATACATCAGTAATGTGCCTTATAATTATCTTCAGTATAAAGTATATTGTGATAGTGTCATCAGTTTTTCAACATTTCCACCCCTCTCCCAGGTAGCTGTGGAAACTGAAAAAGTATTAAATAAAAATTCAATTGATATTTCTAATCTTTATACACCACATATGATAGACTTTCAAATTGTATCAAGAAATATGACTGTATTTGGGCTATAAGGATTTTGTTATTGCCAGAGAAATATTCCAATTTATCTTGGAAGGATCCTTGGTTATTTTTTTATATTATGTTTACCTAAGAACAAATGCCAGGTATTCTCTTTAGATCAAATTTACTCCTAGTATAAAGCACTGAAGGTCCACTAACATCTGTGTTGAATTTATACCAGCGGAGGATCTGACCCTTTACTTTTAAAATTGACTTAAATATCAAGTAGTAAAAATACAATCTGTAAATGTATTGTAGAATAAAAAATTGTAAATCTATTGTAAATTAAGAAATTAAACCAGCATCCTACAGTTATTCAGATATTCTAATAAATATGTGCTCTCTTTTCAGTATCATTTTTTCTTAATATAATGTCATCATAGTAACCTGAGATAACATTGTTAATTTAAATTAAAAATTCTATTCACTGGAATTATATCCAAACATCCCCTAAATATTTTAGCAACAGTAAAGGGCTTTTGAAAGAAGCTCCTCATGTTTCAAACATTTATACACATCCTTAGCTTTCTTAATGTGAGTATTTATTCCCATTTTAGTCAATGAGACTACTTCTATATGTGAAGTTCAGTACGTGCATACATTTTCAGAATCATCTCAGTGATTTTATTTTAAAATACCATATTTACAGGATTCCCATTCCTATTGAATAAAACTCTCAAAAAGTTTCTCCAAAATAAAAATACAACTTACAAAACTGTAAAGTAAAAAAAAAAATTAATTATTTTAGTAACTTGAAGTGTATTCCAATTATGTGATCGAGTTATAACAAGAAATAGCTCTATAGAAAGTCACAATGCAGTTATCTTAAGAGAGCAACATTTTATTCATTACAGTCGTATGCAATTAAAAATCAACGGATAGATAACAAAATGAAGCTTAAAGTATAAAGGACACATTTCTTTAAAAAAGAAGGAAATTGATGCAAATCATCATTCCCATATACATAGTCACCGACAAATAAGATTTAAAATAAGCTATCAGCAGCATTTGCACAAAAAGAGACATTGAATCTATACTTGAACAGATGATCTTATAGCAAACCATGTTCCCATAATTTTTTCTCTTTATTTGAATAACATCAGCTGTTTTCAGTATACTCCAACAGTATACTTCAGTATTAAAGCAAGGACTTGATTTATGGTGAAAAAGATCTTTGTAACATTTAAATACAGAAAATAAACCAACTTTCTATTTAATATATGCAGTATAACACAAGCTGTGCCTCACAAAGCATGGAAAATATTTACTGTAGCACCGTGCAAAATGTTCTGTATTGTCCTTCTGTTATTTAAAATTGTCAAAAAACCTAAAGCAATATACTTTAATAATTAAAATATCTTTCCATGCTTTGCATTAAATAATATTACAGCAAGTGAACGGCACTGAAAAAATGTGATCTGCTTTGCACAGTTCAGGTAGTGTTCTTACTTAACAATAAAATTAGCTAGGATTTAATAACTTTTGTGTTGAAATAAGTTGCATTAAACATGTCATACTGTACTCCATTCAAGCATTTCTAAAACTATATATATTTTAGCCAATTTCATCCAAGGTTCTCAAGTTCTGTCCCTGAGAAACTGGCTCCTTGAGGTTAAACAATTAATTTCTGGGGAAGGATTTCAATAAAAATGTTATACAGTTCTAAAATATGTGTAAACAAGTAAGGCAGCCAGGAATTTCATACCATTTCTGGAAACATTCTCCAGTCTGTGAAATCCATGATCAAATGTTTCAACTGCAAAGCACGGAGCTCAAGAACGTGAACGTTCTATAACAGAATATTCCTAGCTGTCTTAGGGCACTTACACACATGCAGGAAGCCTGCTCTGATGCACTGGAAGTCCAGCACATCAGAGCAGACTTGATTAATTGAGTCTGCTGGAGCATGTAAATTCACGCACTCTGGCAGCCTCGCACATCTTGTGCATCAGTGGTGCAGTGCACCTCCATGCTAAGAAAATGGCAGCGGTGCATTTTTAAATAAAACTTGTTCAGTGTGCTTTCAAAGCACACTGCTGGCATTTTCTCAGCACGGGGATGTGCTGAGCCACCAATACACATGACATGCAGGGACTTTTAATTAGCGTGGCTCACTCTAAATACAGAGGATTGAATTCTGAGCTTGCATTGATGTAAACCCATGGTAGCTACACTGCAGTTAATGGAGCTATGCCATGTTATATTGGGTGCAGACAGAAGTGTCAGTTTTCGCCTAATCTAGCTACGGAAAGCAGTTTATAGCTTTGACCAAACACAAGTGCATGGCTGCAAACAGCTTCAAAAATGGCCATTGGGTGAAAATGTTACACCTGTTACACCTGACCCATCATTGCATGAGGTATCAGATAAAGATGTTACAAAATGTAGCATCTTTTGTAACTTGTGTCTACCCCCCTAGAGGGCTCCAATTCACCCACCCCACCCTTCAGCACCAGCCAGGGAGCGCCAAGAATGAGCTCCCGCTGCTGCCTTTCCCCCCTCGCATTCTGAAAACAAGGAGCACTGGCAGAGAGCCCTGGCTACTCCTATGAGAACCTGCCTGCAGACTCCCAGCCGCAGCTAGATTCCCCTCTTCCCTGGAACCAACAGTGAACTTCTGTGTGGTCTGGGGTAACATAACACAATGCTTTGCAAAAATCATTCTAAGTTATAGCAGGGAGCTGCACTTCTGTCTGCACCCATTGGGCCTGGCCTGCTATAGATCCAGATGTGAAATCTGTGTAAGCAAAATTAGAACTAGACCTCTTATAAATAGGGCTAGATATTCTTCTCAGTTTCAATAGTGTAAATCAAAAATAAATGCTCAACTGAGTGTTCCATATGAAAGTACTAACTGTTCTAGGAAGGTTTTGCAACAGATCATCTAGTTCTGATGTTTATCCTTTCAGTTAAAGAACCATACTACTATTCTTCCCGTTCCCTCTTCCCCCACCCCCACCCCTCCTTGCTCCTGTTCTTTGTTTTTATGTTTGTGGTTTTTTAATTCAGTGTCATTTAGCCTCCAGAGTATTTTAAGTATCTTATTTATAATTTCTCCCATGGACTGAGGATGGCTTTTTTGTCCTGCAATTAAAACTTTAAAAAATCCTTAAACTGGAGAACCTTTCAGAAAAAAGTAAGAAATCTTTCAGTTTTACACAACAAACCAGTCTCTTAAATATATTAAATTATTTGAAATCCTGAATTATTATATCAACTTTTAGTGATTCATTTGGGTAGCTGGGTCAGAAATGTAGCCATTTGCTTGTGCACAATACATAAATTCTTATCAGCCAGAATATGGAGTAGGAAACATTTTAATAAATTATTCATATCTTGGCTTGATTCTCTTCTCATGCCAATGTAAATCAGGAGTAACTGCATTGCAGTCAGTGAAGTTTCAACAGGGTAAAACTGGTCTAAGTGAGAAGAGAATCAACTACTGATCAAATCTAAAAATAATAATATTGCATGTGGAAAGCTCATAACCTCCACATTTGTTAAGAGTTCTGATGCCAAAAATCCTAAGTGAGACAGTAAAGTTGCTTTTATAAGCACATTTCCACTAATATTTAATATCAGGACTTTGAAGCTCTTTCAGTATTCACTCTAGTGCTCTCAATGCAGTTGGTCCTATCAGAGAAACAAGTTATCTGGCTATATAAAAGAAATGCAAAACC